AATTTAATTCCATAAATTTAAAAATTACGTTAAATATTAATAAATACTTTAAATAATTTAAATAAATAATTTTATATAGTTTAATATTTTAAGATTTAAATACATTTTATGTAAGTTAAATAATTACAAACAGTAAGTTAAATATTTTTTAATCATTTAAATAGCTACACTTTTAATAATTAAATAATGTTTAATTATTGTTATTGATGATAAAATTCTTAGTTTTCTGTTATTAATTTCAAAGTAATATCTAAGGCCTGGTATCACAGACAGGGTTTAGATTAAGCCAGATTTAGGCTTTAGTTCAATTAGGAAATTTATAAACTTGCCTTAGAAAAGCGCTTTACTGATGTGCAAAACAACGGCACTGACATCTTTTAATATGCTTTCAGTTAAAGCAGCGTAAACATGGTTAGTCTGGGCCAGTTTAAGCCTGGTGTGTGAGGTTAGTCTGGGCCAGTTTAAGCCTAGTGTGTGAGGTTAGTCTGGGCCAGTTTAAGCCTAGTGTGTGAGGTTAGTCTGGGCCAGTTTAAGCCTAGTGTGTGAGGTTAGTCTGGGCCAGTTTAAGCCTAGTGTGTGAGGTTAGTCTGGGCTAGTTTAAGCCTAGTGTGTGAGGTTAGTCTGGGCCAGTTTAAGCCTAGTGTGTGAGGTTAGTCTGGGCTAGTTTAAGCCTGGTGTATGAGCTGTGTGTGCTGTTGTGTTCAGACCACCATCATGGCGGTGGAGTTCGACGGAGGAGTCGTGATGGGCGCCGACTCTCGCACCACCACCGGGTAAGTGACGCTGCTCATGAGTAGAGCTCGCGGGTTGATGATTGTGTGTAACGGATTGTGTGTGATGTGTGCAGCGCTTACATCGCCAACCGCGTGACGGATAAGCTCACGCCGATCCACGAGCGGATCTTCTGCTGCCGCTCCGGCTCCGCGGCCGACACACAGGCCATCGCTGACGCCGTCACGTACCAGCTGGGCTTCCACAGGTACACACCGGCACTCCCACTCCACACACACCGGCACTCCCAATCCACACACTCCCACTCCACACACACCGGCACTCCCAATCCACACACTCCCACTCCACACACACCGGCACTCCCACTCCACACACACCGGCACTCCCACTCCACACACACCGGCACTCCATACACCCCGGCACTCCCACTCCACACACTCCCACTCCACACACTCCCACTCCACACACTCCCACTCCACACACACCGGCACTCCCACTCCACACACACCGGCACTCCCACTCCACACACACCGGCACTCCCACTCCACACACACCGGCACTCATGAACACAGAAGAGAGAGATTGTATTATGCTGCAAATATCGAACAGTTTAGATGACCCTGACACTCTCTCTCTGACCTCTGACCCCTGTCCTCTCTCTGACCTCTGACCCCTGTCCTCTCTCTGGTCTCCAGCATCGAGCTGGACGAGGCTCCTCTGGTCCAGACGGCAGCGAGTCTCTTCAAGGACATGTGCTACAGATACAGAGAGGAGCTGATGGCCGGCATCATCGTGGCCGGATGGGACAAGCGGAAGGGTGGACAGGTGTGTGTGTGTGTGTGATGGGACAAGCGGAGGGGTGGACAGGTGTGTGTGTGTGTGTGATGGGACAAGCGGAGGGGTGGACAGGTGTGTGTGTGTGATGGGACAAGCGGAGGGGTGGACAGGTGTGTGTGTGTGTGTGATGGGACAAGCGGAGGGGTGGACAGGTGTGTGTGTGTGATGGGACAAGCGGAGGGGTGGACAGGTGTGTGTGTGATAGGACAAGCGGAGGGGTGGACAGGTGTGTGTGTGATGGGACAAGCGGAGGGGTGGACAGGTGTGTGTGTGATGGGACAAGCGGAGGGGTGGACAGGTGTGTGTGTGTGTGTGTGATGGGACAAGTGGAGGGGTGGACAGGTGTGTGTGTGTGTGTAATGGGACAAGCGGAGGGGTGGACAGGTGTGTGTGTGATAGGACAAGCGGAGGGGTGGACAGGTGTGTGTGTGATGGGACAAGCGGAGGGGTGGACAGGTGTGTGTGTGTGATGGGACAAGCGGAGGGGTGGACAGGTGTGTGTGTGTGTGATGGGACAAGCGGGGGGTGGACAGGTGTGTGTGTGATGGGACAAGCGGAGGGGTGGACAGGTGTGTGTGTGAGATGGGACAAGCGGAGGGGTGGACAGGTGTGTGTGTGTGTGTGATGGGTGTGCGCTCATCTGACTGTGTGTGTGTGTGCAGGTGTACACAGTGCCTGTGGGAGGGATGATGACCCGGCAGCCGGTGTCGGTCGGCGGATCCGGCAGTAGTTACATCTACGGTTATGTGGATTCAAACTACAAAGCAGGAATGACCAAAGAGGAGTGTCTCAAATTCACTGCAGGAGGTCAGACACTCACTCACTCACTCACTCACTCAATCACACACTCACTCACTCACTCACACTCACACACTCACTCACTCACTCACTCAATCACACACTCACTCACTCACTCACACACTCACTCACACACTCACTCACTCACTCACTCACTCACTCACTCACTCACTCACTCACACTCACTCACTCACACACTCACTCACTCACTCACTCACTCACTCACTCACTCACTCACACTCACTCACTCACTCACTCACACACACACTCACTCACACACTCACTCACTCACACACTCACTCACTCACTCACTCACTCACACACACACTCACTCACACTCACTCACACACTCACTCACTCACTCACTCACTCACACACTCACTCACTCACTCACTCACTCACTCACACACACACTCACTCACACACACACTCACTCACACACTCACTCACTCACTCACTCACTCACACACACACTCACTCACTCACTCACTCACTCACTCACTCACTCACTCACACACACACTCACTCACACACTCACTCACTCACACACTCACTCACTCACACACTCACTCACTCACACACTCACTCACACTCACTCACTCACTCACACACTCACTCACTCACTCACACACTCACTCACTCACACACTCACTCACTCACTCACTCACACTCACTCACTCACTCACACACTCACTCACTCACACTCACTCACTCACACACTCAAACACTCACACACACACACTCACTCACTCACTCACACACTCACACACACACACACACACTCACTCACACACTCACTCACTCACTCACTCACACTCACACACACACTCACTCACTCACACACTCACTCACTCACACACTCACTCACACACTCACACTCACTCACACACTCACTCACTCACTCACACTCACTCACACACTCACTCACTCACTCACACACACTCACACACACACTCACTCACTCAATCACTCACACACTCACTCACACACACACTCACTCACTCACTCACTCACACTCACACACACACTCACTCACTCAATCACTCACACACTCACTCACACACACTCACTCACTCACTCACTCTCTCTCTCACTCCTTGATCCTTCAGAAATCACTCTAATATGATGATCTGATGCTCAAGAAACAATGATGATTATCAGTAATATTTTTGTGGAAACTGTGATATGCCACCAGTTTGGTGTCCTTGATTAATGAAAGTATTACTTTCTTTTTTAAATTTTACCAAACATTTGAATTTAAAACTTTTGAACTGTTTTCAACATTATAATGTCTTGATCATCCGATCCTCATATTAGAGTGATTTCTGAAGGATCATGTGACACTGAAGACTGGAGTAATGATGCTGAAACTCAGCTTTGATCACAGGAATAAATTACACTTTACTGTATATTCACATAGAACACAGCTGATTTACACTGGAGTAATATTTCACTGTTTTACTGTATTTTTTATCAAATAAATACAGCTTTGATGAGCAGAAGAGACTTCAGAAACATAAAATAAAAAAAATCATACAAATCTTTTCATCAGTCATACCATGTCTTGACATACGCGTGTGTGTGTGTGTGTAGCGCTGACTCTGGCCATGGAGCGAGACGGCTCGAGTGGAGGAGTGGTGAGGCTGGCGGTGATCTCTGAGCTGGGAGTGGAGAGACAGGTGATCCTGGGGAACCAGTTACAGCAGTTCTCCACCGTCTGAGTCTCGGAACTCAGCACATGTTCGGCAGTGAAGCTCAATAAACATGACTTCTCACAACTGTTTGGTGTTTACTGGTTTAATTCAAGATCCCAGTTTCAGTGGACGTGCTTTCGCTTGTACATTTGTAAAGATAAGATGTGCGTTTGGGGGCGGGACTGTCTGACGGACCAATGACAGACGAGATCTGTTTCACATATTATGTTATCTTTACAGTTGAAACTGACTGTCTCATATTTGAAGATTGCATCATTGATTTTGATTATAATTATTAAGAGCTGAGTTTTGAGCAGACTTTTAAAGATAACAGAGTTATATACAGTCAAACCAACAATTATTCAGACACCAGAGATCATTTTTGACATGTTTCTACTAGTGTGTGCAGGACACTATTTTGCTCTCCTCACTTACATAAATGAACTATAAAGTAAACTGTACGAAGAATATTTGGGTATAATATGTCAGTGACTACCAGTAACATTTGGGAGCAGAACTGATTCCTCCACTTTGAGCTGATCATGTTCTGCTGAAGTGTGTTTTCTGTAACTGCTAATGCTCTTTTTACACACACACTGAACAACATGAAGCATTGCTTGGTCACTGGTTGAGCTAAACTGGTATTCTCTAATTGTGTAGTTAAATTTAACAGCTGACAGATATTCAACATAATTCATGTGTGAGAGTCTAACAGAAGGACGGACAAAACCAGTCAAATATCCACTGATCTGAGAACTGAGTTCTGCTCATGTTTATAAACTATAGCGAATAAACTGATGATGTGAGAAGTGTTGAAGGAGTCTGAATACATTTGGGTTTGACTATAAAAGCGGGAGATTATTCCAGACCTTTATATGAAACTGGGAATTGGTCTAAAGATGTCCTAAAAACTATGATAATGGAATGCTGAAAAAGGCATGATATTTTTCTTTCAATAAACAAACTTATTTTAATTTGATTTAGATGTAAAGGTGATTCATATACCAGCTCAAGTGAGATTACTAATAACAGGCTACTTTTTGTGTTTAATTAACAGTGTTACTTTTTTAACTAGTACTAATAATAAGTTTACAGCATATTCATCAAGCGTGTGAAGCCACTGGACATGAACTGGAGAAATGCATCTATGCTGCAAAAAAAAGGTTCTTCCTCAGATATTTGTACTGGAAAAAAAGACAAAAATACAAAGCATTCTTAAATCAAGATACATTTACTGGTGAAGCAAAATGACTGAAGATATTAAGTCTTGCTTTCTGTAAAAATGATCAAAACTAAGTGAGTTTACACTAAAAACAAGAACATATATCTAGCAGAGGGATCAGTAAAATAATGTTCTCAAGTTAATTTTTCTGTAGCTGCATTGAAACAATTTATTGGCTTGGAATCAACAATCAATATTTGAGCGTTAACAGACAAAACCAAGTTCGTATCCAATGACGGTTCACTCCTGAGCGACAGAGGAGAGCTGGCCAATCAGAGAGCAGGACCTCTGATAGACCACGCCCTCATCCCCCAGTTCCCATTCCCCAACCACCCACTGCATCTCTCGCTGTGTTCCTCTCTCCTCCCTCAGGATTAGACTATAGCGGGCGGTCGACCCCTCTCCGCTCCGCACACACTCTCCCTCTCTCCTTCCGTCTGCCTCCTCTTCCTCTCTCCATCCGTCTGCTTCCTCTTCTCGGCTAATCACCCTGTGCAGGGTCTTCCTGAACACTTCCCCGCTCATCGCCGGCTCCCGCTCCTTATCTCTCGCTCCGCCTGCTACAGAAACCAGCTCTACTTTGGAAGCAGCATCTCTCCCTTTAGTGTGGTGTTTCTGCTCTTCCGGCGGGTTGATGAAGAGGACGCTTCGGAACACGGCTTGAACGTCTCTGAGCTGTTTTAGGGGTATAAAGCTCACGCGCTCACCTTCATCCTCCCTTCGCTGTGCGTGTTCAGTGTATCTGTACGCCTGTAGGGTGACCCCGTCGCTGTCCGAGCGAGGCAAGCCGTGATGCTTGAGCCACCGGCTGACGGTGAGGTGGTTCCTCAGGAGCCAAACACACAGGACACATGACGTGAGAGCCGATAGCAAACACAACAACACGAAACCGGCAAATAACCACCAGCACCACGGCAGGATCCTTCCACCCGCACCACGAGCATCTGCCCAGTGCGGACCGACACTAGTGGGCGGTTCTGTTTGGGGAATGATCCGCTCAACGGTTGGTGGTTCGGTCTGGACCGTGATCGTTGTTCTGGAGGATCCGGTGGTACTTTGACCTTGGGATCCGGCAATAATGGGTCCAATGGTTGGTGGTTCAGTCTGGATCGTGATCGTTCTGGAAGTGTGCGGTTCAGATCCGATGGTACTTTGACCTTGGGATCCGGCAGTAATGAGTCCAATGGTTGGTGGTTCAGTCTGGACCGTGATCGTTGCGCTAGAGGAGTGAGGATCCAGTCGGGAAGTACTTTGATCATAGGATCTGGCTGTATAGGGTCCAACGGTTGGTGGTTCGGTCTGGATCAAGATCGTTCTGGAAGTGTGCGGTTCAGATCCGATTGTACTTTGCCCTTGGGATCCGGCAGTAATGGGTCCAGAAGTTGTGGGTTGGTACGGGTCAGTAATCCTGGTGTTTGATTGTGTTGTGTAGGCAAGTGATTCAGTGGCGTCTGGAGTGGGAATCTCTGGACTAGTCATTGGATTCAAGCTAAAAAGCTCCCACGTGGTCCAGAATTCAGACCTTGTTTTACTCCAGGACTCAGCTCTGACCCAGGACCAGGTGGGGGTCCAGGATTTGGTGGAAGCGGGCAGGAGGGTGATGTCGGTGGTGTCGTGTGGAGCAGGAGGGGTTTGAGGGCTGGAATTTGGTTTAGCTGGGATTATAGTAGGAATGGGTTTGAAATCCCAGTCTCCGTTGGGGTAGAGAGGTGGATCTGGAGGGCAGAAGTCGTTCTCTTCCAGTTCAATGATGGGCCGTTGGAATAGATGAGGTGGCCCAGAACACACAACACTGTCGGCGGCGGGATCGAGGCCGTTCGGTCCTTCATGCTTGTAGACGTTGTGCTCCTGGTCGCTCAGGTAGCTGTGGAGATAACCTACAGCACAGCTGCAGATCCAGGGATTATAGGACAGGAAAACGTACGGTAACTCGGGTTTAGACGAGAAGAACCTGTCGGGCATCAGCGAGACGCTGTTATTCTCCAAATCAAACGTCTTCAGGCTGCTGGAAGACACTCGCTCCAGGAGGCGAGCCGGCAGGGCGGGAAGCTTATTCTGAGAGAGATTGATGATCTCCAGACGTGGGAGTTCGCTGAAGGTGGCGTCGTGAAGGGAACGGATCTGGTTGGCGTCCAAGAAGATCTCCATCAGGTTCGGAGCGCAGCGGAACACCAGTCCTCCCAAACCAGTTAACCTGTTACCAGACAAACGCAACACGCTCAGGTTCCCCAACTCTGGACCTGAAAGAGATACACAGTTTAAGTTGAGATCTCCTCTGAGACTCTTGCAGTTCTTGGGACTCTCTCTGTGACTGAGACTTTCTCTGTGACTCTGAGACTCTCTCTGTGACTCTGAGACTCTCTCTGTGACTCTGAGACTCTCTCTGTGACTCTGAGACTCTCTCTGTTACTCTTGAGACTCTCTCTGTGACTCTTGAGACTCTCTGTGACTCTGAGACTCTCTGAGACTCTCTCTGTTACTCTTGAGACTCTCTCTGTGACTCTGAGACTTTCTCTGTGACTCTGAGACTCTCTCTGTGACTGAGACTTTCTCTGTGACTCTGAGACTCTCTCTGTGACTCTGAGACTCTCTCTGTGACTCTGAGACTCTCTCTGTGACTGAGACTTTCTCTGTGACTCTGAGACTCTCTCTGTGACTCTGTGACTCTTGAGACTCTCTCTGTGACTCTGAGACTCTCTGAGACTCTCTCTGTTACTCTTGAGACTCTCTCTGTGACTCTGAGACTTTCTCTGTGACTCTGAGACTCTCTCTGTGACTGAGACTTTCTCTGTGACTCTGAGACTCTCTCTGTGACTCTTGAGACTCTCTCTGTGACTCTGAGACTCTCTCTGTGACTCTTGAGACTCTCTCTGTGACTCTGAGACTCTCTCTGTTACTCTTGAGACTCTCTCTGTGACTCTGAGACTTTCTCTGTGACTCTGAGACTCTCTCTGTGACTGAGACTTTCTCTGTGACTCTGAGACTCTCTCTGTGACTCTGAGACTCTCTCTGTGACTCTGAGACTCTCTCTGTGACTGAGACTTTCTCTGTGACTCTGAGACTCTCTCTGTGACTCTGTGACTCTTGAGACTCTCTCTGTGACTCTGAGACTCTCTGAGACTCTCTCTGTTACTCTTGAGACTCTCTCTGTGACTCTGAGACTTTCTCTGTGACTCTGAGACTCTCTCTGTGACTGAGACTTTCTCTGTGACTCTGAGACTCTCTCTGTGACTCTTGAGACTCTCTCTGTGACTCTGAGACTCTCTCTGTGACTCTTGAGACTCTCTCTGTGACTCTGAGACTCTCTCTGTGACTCTGAGACTCTCTGTGACTCTTGAGACTCTCTCTGTGACTCTCTCTGTGACTCTGAGACTCTCTCTGTTACTCTTGAGACTCTCTCTGTGACTCTTGAGACTCTCTCTGTGACTCTTGAGACTCTCTCTGTGACTCTGAGACTCTCTCTGTGACTCTGAGACTCTCTCTGTGACTGTGACTCTCTCTGTGACTCTTGAGATTCTCTCTGTGACTCTGAGACTCTCTCTGTGACTCTGAGACTCTCTCTGTGACTCTGAGACTCTCTCTGTGACTGAGACTCTCTCTGTGACTGAGACTCTCTCTGTGACTCTTGAGACTCTCTCTGTGACTCTTAAGACTCTCTCTGAGACTCTCTCTGTGTGACTCTTGAGACTCTCTTTGAGACTCTCTGTGACTCTTGAGACTCTCTCTGAGACTCTCTGTGACTGAGACTCTCTCTGTGACTCTTGAGACTCTCTCTGTGACTCTGAGACTCTCTCTGTGACTCTGAGACTCTCTCTGTGACTGAGACTCTCTCTGTGACTGAGACTCTCTCTGTGACTCTTGAGACTCTCTCTGTGACTCTTAAGACTCTCTCTGAGACTCTCTCTGTGTGACTCTTGAGACTCTCTTTGAGACTCTCTGTGACTCTTGAGACTCTCTCTGAGACTCTCTGTGACTCTTGAGACTCTCTCTGAGACTCTCTGTGACTGAGACTCTCTCTGTGACTCTTGAGACTCTCTCTGAGACTCAACTGCAGTGCTGAGGCTTACCTGGCGGCTCCAGCGTGGTGATGAGATTGTGGCTCAGGTCCAGCTCGTGCAGTTGTGTGAATCCAGAATACGAGGACCAGGACAGAGAACTGAAGTGGTTTCCTGTGAGAACCAGAACCTGCGTGTCGGGCTTGATCCCGTCAGGAACCGTCGTCAGGCTCTGGCCCACACAGCTCACGCGGGGCCGGTGGTCCTGGTTCCTGTCCGCCGGACAGCTGACGCTCATGACGACGCAGCACTGCATCATGAGGAAGACGAAGCGTCGCATCACGACAACTGGAAGAAACCAGACATTTTTAAGCATAGCTGCCAATATATAATACAGTCTAACAAAACAAAAGAAAATAAAGACGCTATTTGTTCAGTGACATTATTTTCTTCCCAAACTCTCACTAATGTAACATGATTTTTTTGTGTGTGTATTTTGTCATCTTTATTTTATTTTAATTTGAAGTACACTACTGTTCAAAACTTTGGGGTCAGTAAGAAATAAACATTTTGGTAACACTTTATTTCAATATATTATGTAGTCTACTTTAGACATTATAGTCTAACTATAAGTAACTTTGCAGCTACATGTCAGCTAACTGTCATTAGAGTATTAGTAGCCTGTGCTTAATATCTGCTAACTCTTTACTGTGATGCTCCTCAACAGATATTCTACTGACTATAAGTAACTTGGCAACTACAAGTCAACTTATTCTCCTAACCCGAACCCGAACCCGAACCCTATCAGTCTATGAGAGTTAGCTGACATGTAGTTGCAAAGTTACTTATAGTTAACGAGTTCGTTTGCCCATAAAATCTTTAAGATATTAGGTTAAACTTATTTGGCTTGCTGTCCGCTGGAGAGGGGCTCGATGAAGCAGCTTCAACTCGAGCTCTGATATACCCCCCAGTGGCTAAATGTAGGACCTGTTAATTAAAGGGCAAGGTACCTAAGATGAAGGTGGAGTTTGGGGAGGTGGAGGGATACTGGAACAGCTGATACTAGGGAGAGGTAAGCGGCTGCTTATATACTCTGTTTGTTGATTGAAAGATTGGATGGGCTCGCTCCTCCCTAATTTACGTTTAGGAACTTCATTTAGTAGAATGTCTAAAGTGGACTATAGAAATAAAGTGGAACCAAATATTTCTATTAATCAAGGATGCATTATAAATTACAAGTGACAGTAAAGACGCTTATTAAAGATTCTATCTGAAATAAATGCAGCTCTTTTGAACTTTCTATTCATCAAATAATCCTGAAATATGACGGTTTCCACAAAAATATGAACAGTTTTCATCACTGATAATAATCATAAATGTGTCTTGATCATCAGATCCTCATATTAGAGTGATTTCTGAAGGATCATGTGACACTGAAGACTGGAGTAATGATGCTGAAACTCAGCTTTGATCACAGGAATAAATTACACTTTACTGTATATTCACATAGAGAACAGCTGATTTACACTGGAATAATATTACACTGTTTTACTTTTGATCAAATGAACGCAGCTTCGGTGAGCAGAACAGACACATCATGACAGGAAGATTTTCTTTCCTACAGAATGAGAATTCGTACTTGAATGTTCTTGAGAACAATGTCACAAAACATACAAATCTTAACGGTCCCTAAAATAGGCTTCATGTATTTTATGCAAAATATAATTGACATCTTTGCGAGATACTCAAATAAAAGTGCATAATTTGAACAAAAATAGTGAAAGTAAACATGTTTTTACCACACCACACAAACGTGAGGTTTTACACTGTCAAACATGCTGTTCTTACTCAGTGTTTCTGTCTCGTTTCCAGTCCAAATATCAAACATTTCTTAAATCAAGATGCATTTACTAGATATTATGTCCTGTTTTCCGGGGGAATTAATCAAAATTTAGTGAGTTGATGGTTAAAACAAGCAGAATTATCTGCCGATGGGGTGAGAAAAATAATGTTGTTTCTGTTTGAATTAAGATTATTTTACTCACTCCATTGTCAGATCATTTTGCTAGTTTTAAGCACTTAATTTTGATTAATTCCCCCAGAAAACAGGACATAATATCTGATGCCATTTTACTTCTTCAGTAAATATTTGAGCTGGAAACAAGACAAAAACACTATGTTTTGCAGTGAATAAATGATAATAATAACTGAATGATGTGTAATGTGTCAGTACCTCTGAGCGCGGGCGTCCGCTGAAGCCGTTTCCTCTGCATGGAGAGCCTCATATCTGCTGGATCCAGCTCTGTCTCTCTTCCTCAGTGGCACACACAAACCACAAGCCTCTCTATATGAGCATCATGAGCTTCCACCCCTGGTCTTTGAGTTTTCCTTGTGTACAAAAACCGTAACATCTGAAATCTAAAGCAATTATCATTATTATTGTAAAATGCATCAGAAAACATGAGCACTGCCACGTGAAGCTTATTGCAAAATGATGAAGGCGGTCTTGGATATTGCTTCATATTTTGGATTGTTTAAGCTGGATTGCATGTAAACAAACAAACAGCAATAATGTTAAACCAGCAGCAGAATTATTGTGCCGTGTGTGCTGTCAGATGTGCCTGGTGAACATCAGTTAGATGCTGTTCCTGGGTCAGTTACGGCCCGTATCCACTGTAACCTCTGGTGTGAAAAGATGTGCCACTCTGTGATTGGATCCTTATGAACATAAACATGTTCAGAAACATACGATAAGAAGCTAAGACACCTATGCTTCTCTGTATGGCCACTCATTATATGAGCACACACACACACACACACAGTTGGCTATCTAATGGCAAAGCGGGAAGCATAGTAGAATAAAATGGCTAATTATATTCTCATTAATAAAGTTCTTGAACATCAACTCAACAGTTCACGGGACAGATAAGCGAATGCATGGATGATGACTTAACCGTTTCTTATCGTGTTTGGTCTCTATCTGTTCCACACGATGCCTGTAATATTGCAAAAGAGGTTTGGTAAAGAAATAATGCATGTGTAAAAGGTTAAAGACACTGTTCTCAGTTCACACCTACTTCAGACACCAGTGGCCAATCACACGCCAGGATCAGAGAGATGCCGGGGTTCAATGTCCTCCTCATCAGAGAGGGATAAATAAGGTGGACACACACACACACACACACCCTTGTTCAACTCGGCGGGGATGGAGACGCTGACAGACACACGAGGTGAGAGACTGCAAGATAGTTGTGGTTAAGCTAAACTTGATACTGTTAGTTGCTCTGACTCGCTCTCCCAGTTCAAAACTAGATTAAAGACGCATCTCTTCAGCCAAGCATTCACATAATGCTTACCTTTTATACCACTGTTGAATCAGATCGAATGCATTAATATTATGAACAGCAGCTACGCTAATTATTTCCCATCTGCTTTTCTGCTGTTATCTCGGGACGCTAGTCGAGGTAAATAGCGTTCGTCAGCTCCAGCTTGTATCCAGCCTCTCACGGAGACTTCAGATGTGTAAGTCCGTCTAATTCGATCCAATGGCGGTATCGATTAGAGGTGAAGGTCTCAACGCGTGTTCCATCTTTTCCCATGGCAAGGAGATTTTTAATTAAATACAATACATTTTATCTTATGTTTTAACTCGTTTCATCTGACTCCATAAAATGAAAGTTTTTCAATGATATCTGTGCATCATTAAGTATACGTTAGTGTTTGACTCTTCCTTTTAACTCCAATGAAGATAAAGTCAAAGTCTGTTAGAATAATCAAATATAACAATTTATTATGTCAGGTAAATGTATTATAACAATTCCAAAATAAATTGAAAGATAATCAATGCAAATCATCAAATGTTCTAATAATAATAATTCATTACATTTATATAGCGCTTTTCTCGGCACTCAAAGCGCTTCACATGGAAGGGGGAATCTCCTCAACACCACCAGTGTGCAGCTCCACCTGATGATGCGACGGCAGCCATAGTGCGCCAGAACGCCCACCACACACCAGCTTACTGGTGGAGAGGAGACAGGGTGATGAAGCCAATCAGTGTATATATATATGGGGATGATTAGGAGGCCATGATGGACAGAGGCCACTGGGCAAATTTGGCCAGGACACCGGGGTTACACCCCTACTCTTCCGAAAGACATCCTGGGATTTTTAATGACCAGAGAGAGTCAGGGCCTCGGTTTAACGTCTCATCCGAAGGACGGTGCTCTTTGACAGTATAGTGTCCCCGTCACTATACTGGGGCGTTAGGACCCACACAGACCACAGGGTGAGCGCCCCCTGCTGGCCACACTAACACCTCTTCCAGCAGAAACCTGGTTTTCTCAGAAGGTCTCCCATCCAGGTACTAACCAGGCTCAGCCCTGCTTAGCTTCAGTGGGCGACCAGTCTTGGGCTACAGGGTGATATGGCTGCTGGTCTAGAATAAAGAGGAAAATCTTTTACCCGACATGAAATACATGAATGCTGAGTCTCGGCGACTCCGCATCCACGGGCTGATCTGAGATACAGAAAGCGCCCCGTTCTTCTAGTTGCATTTCCTTATATACCCAGACCTCATTCCATATGTAAACCTGAGTTCACAGTGGAAATTTACTGTATTCACCCCCCCCAGACTTACTGGGGGCAGAAGTTGACCATTTGCTAACAGTGGTAATTTGCATTCATGAATTTACACGTTTTGGGAGTAGGACTATGCCTAGAGACCACATTCCTTTGTGTGCCAGATATCCCTAAACTCTTAAAAACCTTATTTCCTTTTGTTTTACTTATTTGGAAATGAGACATATGTACCACTTACCCTGCGACAGTTTAAATGATACTAAACACAATACTCAATGATAATCCTTCACATTAAACCATAGATATTCTTATGTGAGTTTTTATGTGTCACTGCGAGAGTGGAGGATGCGGGGAAGAAGTGTGTGTGTGTGTGTGTGAGAGTTCAAATGTTAATTTGCCAAGGTCCTTTGTCTCATAGACCAGTGGTCTATCTCTTCACCCAGTTCCCAGTTTTCCAGTTTTCCAGATGCCCCAACGCCTGTGAAGAGGCGACTCAACGCCGGCGATATGTTATGCCCTAAATTAATACATGATGATTAGCTAACTATATTCTTCTATGTACATTTCTGATATGCACTTTCTGTAAAGCTGCTTTGAAACAATATGTATTGTGAAAAGCGCTATACAAATAAATTTGAATTTAATTGAATTGAATTAAGCTTTTGAGAGCAAAACCTTTTGCTTTCGGCTGGTTTTCGTCAACTTCAGAGACATGTGATCAACATCATTGCGTATAGAGATACAGACTACAAAAACACCAGAAACAATGTTGATTTAATACATTTTCCTTTAATGACATTTTGCAGTTTTTAAACAGACATTTTTAAAACTCAAAAAAATAATAATACCTCAACATCCAGAAAAACAGAGC